AATGTATCGATTGTATTTATATAGTTTTGTATTTGTACTAATATTTAGTTGTCACGAATGTTTATTTTTTCATCATTTCCAATACGTATCACTCATATTTATAATGGCTTGGTTCGTCATATTAATAACGAAGACGTTCGTGTCATATAATATTTATATAGATTAACATTTCATATACTAATTTTCATTTATAGCTGGTAATTAGATACCTGATTGATATATTCAGATTTAAGTTCAATAATTTTACGATATACTAAACTACAATTACTGTAAATGATGCTTGATGAATCTCAATGAATTAATTCTGCCAATAAAATATTAAATTACAGTCTACTCTTTTTTTTTTATAGAAATTCTCAAATTTAAAAATAGCATTATATAGTTTTAATGATATTGTTATATTGATATTGTTATATTGATATATCGTAATATTGTGAAAATCGCAGTGATAACATTAAACAAATATCATTATCATTATTCTTATTATTTATTTAATCTAAAATCTTACGAGTATAGCTAAAATTATGTCAGAAAATTAAAACTACTAATATCGCTTAATAATTTATACTAACCCCACCCCTTTAGCATTTCAAGTGCCTAGTTTACTATACAATAAATTCACCAATTTATTTTAGCAATAATAATTTACAATTGATATAACAGAATCGTTAAACTACTCCCAATAATTTTTTAATTTTCAGTATCTTTTTCAATTTTTTGCAACACTTTTAAATATTTATACTTACAATTTCACAATTGATCCACTAAAATTCAAATCCTAGTAAATTTCCAAATTTCATTAAAGTGTTTTGTTGATGGGATCTTATTTTAACACCTTCAATAGAGTAGCTTAATCCCCAAGAGCCATAACTATTTGTAGTAATTTTCTGACGAGTTGAACCATTATAGCTAGATTGTCCTGGTAGGAAACGTATAGTTGCAATTATATCATATTGAGGCGGTACATCGGTTAAATCTATTTTTATTTTTTCCGAGTGAATTAAAGCTGTATGTATATTATAAAATATTATAAATTTTGTATATAAAAATATATATATATTTTTACGGGTTTTAACAAATTATGTACAAGCACTGATTTATATCAAGAAAAAAAGGAAACAAGACTAACCTTTTACGAGATCTGAATCGTCAGTATAAATATCAGTTCCCCACGCATTTTTTGTCGTTACATGAGTGGTCGTAAGCCATTGTGACTCAATCAAGATCTTGATAACATCTTCAATTTTACCTTTGGAAATATTCGGATAAGTAAAAGAGAAATCTCTTTTTAATGTAAGAGGAATAGTTTTAACATCTTCAATAGGGTAACTTAATCCCCAAGAACCATAATTATTTGTAATTATTCCCTGACGGGTTGAACCGTTATAGCTAAGTTGTCCCGGTAGGAAACGTATGGTTACAATTATATTATGCTGAGGCGGTTTATCGGTTATTTTTATTTTCTCTGAATGAGCTACAGCTAATACAGTGTATATTATAAATATTATAAATATAAGCTCTGACTTATAAATCAATCAAGTATTACTTGATTAATATTCATCTTCCAGATGTATATATCGGAATTTACATGAAATTGGTTGTTAAACCTGTGAACAAAAACATATAAATAGAAAAGAAAACAAGACTAACCTTTTACAAGGTCTGAATCAGAAGTGTAAATATCTGTTCCCCACGCATTTTTCCCTGCTGCATTGGTGATTGTAAGCCATCGTGACTCAATCAAAACTTTGATAACATCTCCATCTTTGCCTTTGGAAATATTCGGATAAGTTAAAACATTATCAAGCGAAATATTTCTTGGTGGTAACTCAGTTGTAGAAACCACTCGAGGAGGTAAAACATTTGAAGTAATAGGCTTATTTGGAGTCACGGATCTTGATAAAATATCATTCCACAAATTAGGTTCAAGGATTCGTTGATATGGAAGTACTTTTTCCATAATATCTTCGTTAGAAATTTGAAAGTATCGGATATGGGGTAGGCAAATTTTGAGTGTAGTTTTTAAAGTTAAAAAATCTTCATCAGACCATTGTACAGGATTAGGATTCAGGTTAGAATTTTGAGCGATTCCCCATTTAATGACTTGATCCCAAATTTTTCCTTCATCCATTTGTAAATTATCAAGTTTTATAAGAGAAACTAAAGCATTTTCTTGAAGCTCTGTGAATTTTTCAGAATCAAAAATAACATTTGGATGCTTGGCGATAATATCATTACAATACTCTTGTAAAGCTTTAAAACCATCATTTTCAAAGCTTAATTTATAAGCTTGTGCAAAATTTCGACGTATCCATGAAGCATGATTTTCAACTAAATATGTTTGCACAATATTAACTAATTCTTCAAGACCAAATTCATTAGCAGTGGCTAAGAGATTAAAGATTGTAGACGCATCAACTTTATCAAATAAAACAATACCACCGTAAATATATCTGTATAATTCAAAAAGAGAACGTTCAAATTTATATTTGACAATATTTTGGTAATTGCAAAATTCAAATATTATTATAGCTTACTTTATAATAATTTCAAAAACAATAACGGAAATGTGTAATAAATTGATTTTTTTAATGTTATCTTCATTATAATTTGTCGTAGTCAATTTCTCACGAAAATAAAAACATCGAGAACTCAAAATAATTGAATGTGCCTTAAATAATTTTTGATTTGGCATCTGACCGACTTCAATTAATAAGTTGTAATCATCACCATTTTCGAGAAGTTTTGTTAAATCACAAGAAAGTTTTTTAAAAAATTCTATATCCATTAACGCAACAAAAGAAGTTACAAAGGTTAATAATACAAACGGTGAATATATTACTACGCATTCTGTGTGTTATTTGTACATATATACATAGCTTGATAAGGTTATTACACTACATGGGCACATGTAACGGTAAACACATATGGCAAAAAAGGTACGACCGCAATCACATGATGTTTTGATCGGCCATTAAAATCGCCGAGTAGCAAGCTCTTATTTATAATCTATATATAAATTTAATAAATATATAATTTGTGAAAAACTATTCAAAATATTAGTTCTATTCTATATTTGAGTTGTAAATCATCTTTGCATGCTTTTCTATATTACTAAACAAATAACAGTTACGTTTTACGAGCGCTTATAACTGTTAGACGAAACATGGAGGTTTCGCGCTAACGAAACACGAAGCTGACGAAAGGTGGTGAAACTGGCAAAAGTGATGAAGCTGCCGAAACTGCAAATGGTGACGAAGCTAATAAAGATGAATAAATGTTATTGAAATAAACCTCCATTTTCATGTAAAGTAATCAAGGGTAGCTATATTGTTTTTGATTATTTTGGCTCAATAAATGTTAAGATTCGAAGTATTTATTTAACTCCAAAATCATTAAAAGGCACATCCGTCCTTGAGATATTGCATTATTAATAATGCATTCATTGTGAAATCGGAAATGAATACAGTAACTGCTAAAATCTCAAGAATAACCAAATCTTTTTGGATATTTGATATAAATGAATGCATTGAATTGTAGCATTCATTTGGACTAAATTCATTGAAAACAATTTAGCTGTTCTCAAATTCAGAAAAATTCCGGATAATATAATTTACTGGTCCGTTCCTGGTTTTGGCGCAATGTAGCTGCGCAGCTACCTTATTATGTAAACATAATATTGGTGTTACTACAAGAATGCTGGCTAATGTAAATTTTCAGAGAGCTAAACCGCTATGATAATATCTTAAATTCTTACAGGCGTTCATTTTATAACTTACATACTAATAACGTTTACTAGAAAATTACTCAACAAATATTAGAACTATTAATTTTTAAACTTTAATGCCGTGTCTTAAAATTTATATTGAAAAACTTTTGATTCTAATAAATTCACCATAACGAAGAAGTAACACATCTATGTTTAATATATTTGTTTATTATTTAAATATGAAGTCGGCCGGGTCAAGCCAAATAAATCTCCAGCATTA